CATAGTCAAAACCTCGATTAAATTCGCTACTTTCTCTAACGTTTCGATATTCCTTTCACTCTTCCGATGTTTCACGTAAACGGATTACATGTTAAATTAACTTCAAATTATTTTTTTTCAAAGTGAAATTGTCTTACGGCATTAGTTCTATCTATTGGTAAAGTGGTAATATTTTAAAGAATAAAATGGCTCTATATTTATTATATATAATAAATATTTATACCACTAAACATAGGTTGGGATTAGTCCTGTGTTGGGCTAATCCTTATGTATTAGTTTGCCCAAGATCTCTATCATGATAGCACTTTTCAATGATTGTTAATGATATTTTTGTTCACCAAAAATGTTTTTTTCTTGTGATCATTACAAAGTACAAACTTTAATCTCCACGTGTCTGAAATTCACGATATAAATGACTACGGAATCAGATAAATATGGTAATGTAATATCGACTGGGGCAAAGTTAAAGCAAAAATATGTTTTCTTATGTCGTTCAAGGATAATTTCAAATCGTCGAATTTTCTCGAACGTTCCGTACTGAAACGGCCTGTCGGTTAGTTATATAATAAAATGAAATGGAATGTTAGTCAAGAAATCCTACAAGTTTGTGGAGTCAATCTAATTGGTTTCCAAAAAGTTTTACTAACATTTTTATTTCACGCAATAATTTTTCAAATGGATACTCATAAAGTACATTTTACTTCTTACTAATATTATAAATGTGAATGTTAAGATGGATGTTTGTTTAAAGGTATCTCCAAAACGGCTGAACGGATCTCGATTAAATTTGTCACGCATATAGAACATAGTCTGGAACACATAGGCTACTAATTAAGTTTTATTTTTAATTCCGCGCGGACAGAGCCGCGCGCAAAATCTAGTAATCCGTATTCCAAAACCAAGAGGGAATATATCTAACATCCGTTTTCTGTTAGATCTGTAGTTCTTTGCAAGTTATATAACCGTAGACGTTTTTTGGCGTCGAAGCGTGAATTTGCTTAGATAACCGTACTACCCCTTTCAGTTGCTACGTGTAATATCTTTAACGTTCTAAATGTATATTAAATTTAACAAATAAAGTGCTGAAGACACGATGAGTTTTCGCAACGCGTCGGCTTGCGCAAACACTGTTATATAAAATTCACATTGCATCGATTACTCGACATGAACTCTTATTTATTTAGATTTTTTTTAAGTTTTCATATGTTAGATGCATTGCGTGCAAACTGGCTGGTAATCCATTTTAATATTTACGAATGTGTTACATCGTCCAGGGTACTACTGCGTATTTTAATGTTTATGAAAAATGTTATTAAATTCACGATGACGTAACGTGGGTTTCTAAGAACAGAATCACCGTTTAAAACATTGTTCTCTGGTTGAAACAAATGTTTTAGACCAATATTTTGGTCTCAGAAACCAACGACTAGTTAGTATATGATTACTATGTTTTATTACGTAAATGATACATAATTAAATTGTCATTTGTTTTCTCTTACAACTATATAATATAGTTTAATCAATAAGATCTCAGACGGTAGGTACGTGGGATGTTGCTAGAAATGGGTTGAAATATCGTTAGCTTAACCTTCAGGGAGAAAATAGGGTCATGGTTACATTGATGCAAATAAGTTTTACTAAAAAATATATTGCCAGAAGACCAAATGTACTTGACAGGTAGCCTTTATAGAGGTTGTATATTTGTCATGTTATTCAATAAATTCGAAACTAAAAAGCCCGCCTGGCTGTGACATGTTTGACACTCCGACAAAGAATATTAATTAAACAGCAATTCGCTCTACAAATCTACTAAATATACCACGACCTTATATACTTGTACGTGTGTTTTGTATCTATAAACCCTGGTAATTGGTATTGTACATAGGAATTGTATAGTTCCTAGCTGTCTATGGGTATAGCGGAAGAAGTCGTATCAGTTTTAGCCGCTAACCTCTAAACTACCCTTGAATGATCGCTCAATGTTATACTGTATATAATCTTACAGGCAACTGTTCAAAAAGGTCACGTAGAAACATTCAATCCACGTATTATTTTAAATGTTTTAAAAGTATTATCTGTGGCCCGGTAACGGACGACCTGACCTACTCTTTGACGGCATAGATTATTTTGACTGTAGCATATCGAAGCAGGTGAACAATAACTCGAATTGAGATCTGAGAAATTCAAGGTCACATTACTTATTAAAAAACTTATACAATTGGCCAGCGCTAAAACTACAAAATACCTAATATCAAAAATTGCATATTACTCATATACAAGGTGGTTTCCATAAATATAATCTTTAGTGAGTTTTCCGATTCTTGATATCGTCTGTATTTACCAGAATTCCCTGTTGGGGTTTACCGATTCTGAAAACTTATCATTTAGCAGCTTAAGAAAATAATATACTGTCACACTAGCTGTGGGTTTCTGAGACCAAATCCCCGTTTATAACATAGTAGAAAGATTTTATCTCTGTGTTGTCAAAGATAATGAGAAGGATGACGATATATTTTA